CCCCAGCAGGATTTTCCGTGCCTGGATTGGGAACAGGGAGACTGGTAGTGGAATGAAGAGAAGAAACACTTTCTGACAGGCAAACTCACACCCAGACCCTGCCACTGCAGAACCGAGAGGCCATCCACAGTGAGGAGTGGTGCTGACGGGAGAGAAGGGAGGCACCTCTGCGATCTATTTCAGCCTGGAGCGTGGGCCTAAGGCCAGGAAGTAAGCACATCATGGGAGACTGGAGAGAGACAAAGCTGGCTCTCAACCAGAGAGACCTGTTACCCAGAGAAGCGAGGCCGGGGGACCAACAGGAAAGCTGGTCTCCACATTTCTCTCCAATAGCTCCCTACTCTCCCAGCTCACAACTGCCCACAGCTGCAGCCACCATCTGTGTGGGTTATTGGATGGGTACCAGATCTCCCCTCCTCTCCCACCAGTCAGGTACGGACACCTCAGCCGCCCTTGAAAGTCCTCCACCTGGAGCCCGGCCTCGGGTGCCAGGACCCCCTTCATTGCTCCAGCACCTCAGGCAGGCAGAACTGCCTGTCAGGCTCTCCACCCTGCGCCTGAGCTCATGCGGCTCTTGCTGCTCAACTCTGCGGACCCAGAGCCTCTGAGAGCCAGCTTAAAGCCCTCTCTGGTCCCCTGGCCATGGGCTGCCTCTCTTCTCTTTGAAACCCCATAGCGTTTTATCTATATATCTGTCTGTACTACGCTTATTTGTATGGAAAATAGTTCTTTCTTCTAGACTTTATTTTTCCTACTTGGGGATCCAATTAAGTTTCATCCATGGCATCTGACTATTCAGTATCCCCTAAACTAGAACAAGGAATAACTCCTCATTTTTTTTATGGGATGGAATTATTGAATTATGAAAAATAGCTTGATGTGGGTATTTCTAAAATGTTTGGAATTTTTATGAAATGTACTAAGACATTAGATTTAAAAAATAATGAAATAGAAAAAGGCAGAGCGGGCCAGCTGGTGGCATGGTGGTTGAAGCGGCTGGACCCCACATGGCCCACTACACAATATGAGTCCTGGAGGTGGTTGCCTGAAAAATATGTTGAGTGCATGTGCACAGCTGCCCAACATCTTGAAAGGAGAAATGGAGGTGAAGGGGGGGTGCTTTATTGCTTTCCTTCTCACTCTCTTTCTAGTGACTGAAGGTGCCTTCTGGAAAATTAAAAAGAAGGCACAGAACACAATATATTGCTAGAACTATCCAAGTTCTTCATGGCTTCCACAGTGGGCTCAGCCCACAGGGCCTGAGCCTGAAGAGACCTCTAATCACCTTGGAGTTCCCAGTCCTTGGTCTGGTTTGATTTAATTTAACGAACATTCCTAAACATCTCCATAATCTGCTTTGTTCCAATCAGTGGAGCCTCTAAGGGCTCTCTTCCTTTTATTATTTGTGGTTTTTTTATTTTCTCTATTTTCTTTTGAGAAGTTTTTGTTATAGGGCATGTGCGCTCACCAGAAAGAGAGACAGAAAGCAAAAAATCACCCCCCAGGGAGGATGGCCACGCTGCAATCCCCTCTCCTCCATTCTCCTCTCAGATCTTGGGCATGCACGCACAGGCACCCGGCATGAGTTTAAGCCATCGGGTCTGGGACTCGAACTGTGGGCGAATACGTTGGAGTCCAGTGATGTAGCCATTATGCCATCTGCTGGTTCCATATTATTTGTTTTATTTTATTTTTTCTAAATCAAATAATTTCTGTCCTTCCCTATATAGCCATCTTTCCCCTGGGTCTGCCCAGGGCCATGGGTCACCCAGACCTCTTTTAGCAGGAGCCAATCTTAAGCAGTGGTTAAACACTCTGAAATCAAATAGGTTGTATTCCAGTTCTACCATTTCTCAGTGGTGGATTGAACCTTTCTGAGCCTTTTTTACCCTATAAAATGGAGGAAAGAAAAAGATTCACCACACAGAATTATTGTAAGCATTAGCGTTAATGCAGGTAAAGAGTTTATCACATTGTAAGTGTTCAAAAGGTAAGGGGCACTAGCCTCAGTTATAGCCAAGGTGATGCAAACCACGGCCCCATGGCTGAGGGAATCGATAGCCAATGGGCCCTGCATGCCTCTGTTGGGGTGTGGCTTGTGGCAATATTGCTCTAAACCCAGCTGCTCCTGAGCTGGCATTCAGCAGCTGCCTGATGATACACAGGTAAAAGCACCGAGGGAGACAGGACCAGTCAGCAGCTAAGAGCAAAATCAGATTAAGAGTGTCGGTATGCAGCCAGAGCACGTACTCTGGGGAAGCAGACATGCCGAGCCAGCAGGAGAGATGAGAGGAGGGACGGGGAGGAATCGAAGGCTCGGGAAGGCAATCAAGAGGCCCCAGCTTCAGAGCATACATCCCTCTCTCTACCAAACAAGAAGGGCTCCAAGTAGACATGTCTCATATCTAAACGAGCACAGTTAGTAAGGGTCCCAGCAGCTGCCAAATTGAATCAGGGAGGCCGCGCTGCTCCTGCCCAAGACCCCCTGCTCTTCCTCCCCTCCGGCTTCCCTGGCATGCTGAATTCCCCAGATTCCTCTCTGCCACAGCTCAGAGAGCACCCTTGCTGCCTGACAGATGCCTCCAGATCACTGTCTTCTGTGCCTGTCTCTCTCCCACTGGAAACAGCCTATAGTTTGAATATGAGTCCTGGTCCTGGCTTCTTCCTGCCTCTCCCGAGCCAAGTCCTCTAGAATCCTGGTGGCTCCTTCCTGAGATTGACTGTCTGACTGACCAGCTAAGGTTTCAGAGGGGACAGAAGGAAGACATGCTTCCTCCGCCTTTCCCCCTCCAACCGTGGGTCTTGGAAGGTGGGTGAGTTAATGCCACGCATGGCCTCGCTCTTCTTCTTCCAATAAGGTCTAGCCCCAGTCTCTTCTTGGGCCTATTTACCCATGGACCAGGTGGTGAGTGTGCTGGGACCCCTCCCCACCACAAGGTTGCCTGCAGTGTCCACTCAGGCTAATGACTGATTCTATCCCTGGCCTGAGTGCTGAGGCCTGCTGCCTGCAGGTTGCTGGCCCATCCCCTCTTCTGGGATTTAGGTACGTGCAGATTGAGGAAGCTCTTGGGGGACAACCTTGGGGGTCCTCTCCCAAACCTGTCCCTCCTTCCTCCTCCCCTACTTCCACCCTCACCCCCCAACCACTTACTATGCTCTTGTAGATGAAATTTGTCAAGGTGAGGGCAGCCCCTGACCGGAAGTACTTTCGATAATTCTTGCGGGCCTGGCAGGACATACAAGAAAGGAGCCAAAGTGAAGGCAGGCTCTAGGCGACACTCTCCTCTCTTCAACCACACACAGACAGGGAAGGTAGAGAGCGAGAGTGTCGCTGCGGGGAGAGGTAAAGTCAGACACACCCAGACAGACAGACAGAGATCCCCGACAGGCACCCACACACGCAGACATAGACGCTCAAGTGGACGGGCCATCACACCCAGGGGCTGTCTGGATGCGGGCAGGAGCTGGCACACCCAGGAGGAGCCACATGCAGGGAGGAAGCCCCTCTCCATCCTCCATTACCTTCCACCCTCTCACGAAGGCCTGGATCAGCAGTGCCGATGCTTTCATCTTCCCATAGCGTTTCTTTTGCTGTGGAAGACATCAGCAGTTAGGAAAGTGTCCCACCTCCTGAACCACCTCCCACCCTCCTGTTAGACGGAAGGGGATAGGACTTTCGGGGTGATGGTACCATGCTGCCCCGAAACCAAGAGGAGATAAGGATCTGACTCTTCCGCATGAGCTGGTAGTGGGCACGGCAGCGCCAGCCTCGGTAAATCTTCTGTATGAGCGTGGCCAGCTGCTGGAGTCTGAGGCGCCTCTGCTCTTCCAGGTAGAAAAGCTGGGGTGAGGTAGAAGGGTGGGGCAGAGAGGTGGGCACAAGGAAGCTGCATGCTCTCCTCCTTTACCCTGCAGTACCAGAGCCTAGCCAGCCAGCATCTAGTTGAGCCTTCCTTTGTCTGCCGAGTTCGTTCATTCATTCTGCATTCATTCGACAAGCATCTACCGAACAGCAGCAGTGCTATGTAGCAGGCTCGGAAGTCAGACACTGAGCAGCACATCACCCACCATTCGAGTTCCACTCCAGGCGGAGGCCTCAAAGAGGACCACACAGCACCCCAGCTCCCAAAGCCCAGAGCCAGGTGGGGTAAAGTACCAGCTCATTCCCTCTACTCCAAGTTACAGACGCTCCCCTCCCTACTAAATAGCCTCTTTCCAGGAAGGCCCTCACTTCACCCACCTTCTATCCTCACCAAGGGCAAGTGTACCCTCAGACTCACAGTCTTGGGGCTCCTAATGAAGATCTTTGTGTTCCCAAAGGCCACCTCTTCAGAAGACAGGTTCAGCTCCCCCAGGACTTTCTCAGTCCCTTCCCTAAGGAGCAGACAGGAGAAGGATGCAAAGGGGTACCCGAGGGAGGGCCCTCTTCCACCTCTCCCCTAGTCTCTCTCAGCCTCCAAGGAGTGGCCATTCTGCTCATCTCCCAGGCGTCCAGTTACTGAGCTTCAACAGATGTGCACAGATGCCAGGTCTCTCCCCAGAGACGTTTCCTGCACGGTCCTTCCCCGCTCCCCAGCCTCCCCGCTGGGTCTTACCGGTCTCCCCCATTCCAGCGAGGCCAAGTGCTCCGGCTTAGCATTCGGTACCTTTCCAAGAAGGGCCCATAGCCTTGGCGATAGGCATAACCCGCACGTCGTACCCGCACATTCTCCAGCAGCCCCAGGTACCGAACCTGGACTGCCACCAGCTCCGAGGAGAACTGACCTCGCTGCTGATGCTCATTGGGCTTGATGCACCTGGGCAGGAGGTGGGGCGAGGCACAAGCATCAGGATTTGACCTGTTGCCAGTGTAGCCCGCCCTGGTCTCTATTTTCCTATTCTGCACACATTTCCCTTAGCTGGAAATTGTCAGAAAAAGTAAATACACTGGCCTTCCCAGGTTTACTCACTGCTGGACGGTCCCTTACAAATCCCATGCTGTCCCCCTTCAGGACTCAGCTCCCATCTGGCTCTGTTTTCTTTGAGGAAAGGCCTACTCCCCACACACACATACACACATGCACACACGCACACACGCACACACAGACATGTTCTACAGTGCCTGGACTCTGCTCAAGTCTGTGGCATGATCCCCTGCATGCCAGTGTGTCACCTGATGTAGTTGGGGTTCTTGGCATACAGGTTCTTCATGAGTATAGCTACAGAGTTCTTGAACTGGGCCCCAGCAGTTGGGGGACGTTTGAGAGATGCCTGCTTGGGATTGCCCTCAGGGAACAGGGACCGGAGGAGGGGATGCTGGGCCTTCCACATGGCCTGAGACAGGCCCCGAAAAAGCAGGTCATTGTTCTTGTCAATGAAGCCAGTCACGCTGTATGTCACCTATGGAAAGCACCAATGGGTTTAGAGACTTCATGATCTTGTGCCAGCACTTGGCCTTCCTGCCTCATTGTCAAGTCTCCCCCAGTTCCACCCCTATTGCAGTCCATGCCTGGGCCCTAGTCTTCACCCTCCACCCTGACCATATCACCTTGCCCGCGTAGTGGCAGATGCGGAAGCAGCTGAGGCCCATGGTGTGGTCATACTGGTGCTGGGCATTCTGGGTGACTTTGCTCTCGTAGTGACTGTGCTTGGAGAACAGCTGGTTGAGCTTCGCCAGGAAAGTGGAGTCACTGACCACCCCAGGCCGCAGGCACTCCTCATCCAACATGGCCAGGATGCCTCGCTGATTCTGGGTGCCAGAAACAAGATCAGCCCAACCTTGACTCGGTCCTCCAAGATGTCTATGTTCTCACTGCTGCTCCTTCTGCCCCTCCCAGCCTTTGCTCCTTATCATGCTTACCCAGTGGGTGGAGGGAGACAGGAAGGATGTTCAGGAGCCTGGGCAGCAAAGTCCCACAGATAAGAAAAGATAACTCACGTGTTCGATGAGGTTACATATGATGCCGTTGTCGAAGTAGTCCACCTTTGTCCAAGGTATGCCCTGGCGAGTGGAGACACAGCAAAATACAGGGGTCAGGTCCATGACACATATCCAAAGACCTCGCCAGCCCCAGCCTTTCACCTGCCCCACAAAGGACCTTGGGAAGCCCCAGAGTTCAGAGAAGTTCTTGGTGTGGTCTCTCTTTTTTTTTTTTTTGGAGAGGAGTTTGCTATAGGGTGCGTGTGCTCGCCAGAAAGACAGAGAGAGACAGAGATACAGAAAGCAAGAAATCACCCCCCAGGGAGGATGGCCATATCGCAATCCCTTCTCCTCCTTTCTCCTCTCAGGATCTTGGGCACACGCGCACATGCGCCCGGCGTAAGTTTAAGCCACCGGGTCCGTGACTTGAACCACAGTCAACTACATGGGAGTCCAGAGACATAGGCATTATGCTAACGGCTAGTCCCAGTGTGGACTCTTTTTACCATTCCACCAAGGTTGGTAGAGAATTTAAAAGGAGGGTGGACAGACACTGGGGAGGAACCAGAGCAGCTGCGAGAGGGGTGAGACAATACAGAGAGTCCTGCAGGTAGTGGAGGATGGGGAATGAAGATTGGGTGAAGATTGGGATTGAGAGTACCCCAGTGCAGGAGTGGGAAAAGATCTAGGTGTATATGGAAGGGCCAATAGCCATGCTACTCTGACAATAAATACATAAAACTGAACACAAAAGAAAGTTTATCATTTAAAAACGAAGCTATTTCGATACCTCTGCAAAGATCTACATCCATGAGACTCAAACCTAAGTGTGCATCACAATTACCTAGACAGCTTGTTAAACCACAGGGCCAGCTGTGGTGATCCCACAGTAAAGCGAACACTCTGCAATGCTCAACCCACACAAGAAGGTCCCGGGTTCATGTCCTAAGGTCTCCGTGTGCACACCCATTGTGTATACCTGTGTCTGACCCAGGATGGCTGAAGCTGGGTGGGGTAGACCATGATGGAAAGGCTCTGTTGGGGTGCACACTTCACCTAACCCCTTCTCTGTCTGTCTCTCTCTCTCATGAGAGAAAGACATAAACTTTTTTTTTCTTTAATTACCAGAGGTCTCATGTGCTCACCAGAGAGAGATAGAGACAGAGAAAGAGGGAAAGGGAGAAAGCATCCCCCAATGGGCATGGTCACACCACAATTCCTTCTCCTTTATCTGTCCATTCTGTTGGGATTTGGGGCATGCACACCCAGTGTGTTTTTCAAATTGCCAGGTCTGGGACTCAAACTGTGGTCAGCCGTGTGGGATCCAGCTCCCTTAAAAACTAGGCCATGGGGATAAGCCAAAAATAAACTATTTTTTTTAACAGGTTTTTGCTATAGGGCATGTGTGCTCACCAGAAAGACAGAGAGAGACAGAGAGACAGAAAGCAAGAAATCATGCCCCAGGGGGGATGGACACGCTGCAATCCCTTCTCCTCCATTCTCCTCTTGGGATCTTGGGCACACACCCACACATGCCTGGCATGAGTTTAAGCCGCTGGGTCCAGGACTTGAACCACGGTCAACTACATGGGAGTCCAGTGACACAGCCATTACGTTAACAGCTTGTCCCCCAAAAAATAAACTGTAAAACCCCACACTGATAACTGAGTCCCCTCTCTCAAGTTTCTGGTTTGGCTGGCCTGGGATGGGCCTCGAGAATTTGCATTTCCAACGTGTTCCCAAGTGATGCTGATATTGACGGTATCGACGTTGGTCTAGGACCACACTTTAAGAACCACTAGCCTACATGATGCCTTGGGACCGTATATATTCTTTAAAAAGCAAGAATGATAGACAAGCAGAAGACCCATAGACTCGTTCTCCACTTTGGGGGACTTGCTGGTTATCAGGGCTGCAGGCAGGATAGCTCTCGATCCCACTCGAGTGCCAGATGTCCCAGGCTGGGGCCGTCCCAGCGGAATACAAGCCTTTCTTGCCTTCCTCCCTCACAGGCCTTTAAAGAAGCAGAAGGGGATTCAGTCGCCCTCACTTCGCCCCCAGAACACCTTCCACAATCAGTTTCATGAATGTGATGTCCTTACAATGCAATGTAGCTGTACAGAAGGATCTTTGTACACCGGTACGGAAAGATCTCTTGTCAAGTGACTAAAAACAAGGTGCAGAACAGGTGCCTTTACTGCCGTTTGCATAAATTCTGTGGGAAAATAGATGTATAGATTTGTTGGTATGCACGGGAGGTCTCTGGAAGAAGGTCCTTTTTAGTTGTCTCTGGGTTGGGAAGGGAACGAAGGGGCTGGGGTGTGAGAGAGAGAGAGACCTTTCTTTATATTTTTTAAACTTTTAAAATGTTGGAGAATGGGACTGTATTAACTGTTTGATCGTTTAAATTATTAAAAATAAAAAAGCCTGAAAACACTTTCCCACATTTCGTGACCACATTGCCTGAAATTCTTCCACAACGGACTCCTGAGAGCCCGCAAGGGAACATCCTGGGAGGGTTTCGATGAGTGAGACTCTTCACCATTTACACGCAGCGACAGGTGAGCTTAGTCAGAGAGCTTTTCTAACACCTAGCCATAGGAAACGGGTTTGCACTGAGTCAGGGAAGTGTGGAAAGCTGCAGCCGTGGGGCACCTCTGGTGAGGAGGTCCAGGATCGGAGTGCTACAGAAGGGACAGCCACATCAGTCAGGGCCCAGAGGAAAGAGTCAGATGTTAGAGAAGGGCCCAGCGAGGGATGCAGTGGGGTGCCAAGCCCAGGAGCTATGTCCCTTCTAAATGTGGCGCACACTCTGCCGTAGGCCAAGCACAGCTGTCACTTCACTCTTGTCAGGACTCCACACACGCACACTTCCATCACTCTGCCCCTGCCTTGCCTGGCATGGAGTGGGAGGCTGGGGACATCGGGAGTGCAGAGCAGAGAATTAGGGCCACTTGGTAATGCCGGAATGCTCAGCTCTGCAAAGAGAGACTTTGTGTCCTTTGTGTTCCTGTCTGGGGACAATTTAGAGGAAATTGTGATCAAGGAGAAAGGAAGATCTGGCATCTACCTACAAGTCACAAGAGAGGAAGTAGGGAGAATACTTAGTTTACTTCTTTCTTATACTCCTCTTGCTCCTCTTTCAGGGTCATCTCTATGAACACCTGCTGCAGCTTCTCATTGCAGTAGTTGATCACAAATTGCTCAAAGCTATTATCCTGTGGGGGGTACAAAGGTTAGAGAGAGACCAGTTTACCCCCCAATCCTTCTTCCCTCCCAGGCCTACCTTCCCTCGCACATCCGCCTCTGCGTAGCCTGCCCAACTCCAGCCTTAGAGAAGCAGGAGTCTGAGGTTGGACGAGGCTCTCTCACCTCTAATATCTCAAAGCCGTAGATATCCAGGACCCCCATAACCTTCTTCTTCTCCCCGGTGCCCACCTGAAGAGGA